CATGCGGCGATTCATAGATAGTCGTTTGAACACTTCATCAGAGGCCTTGAATAGAAGAAAGGCCAGCAGGAAACTTATTAAATCATTTTTTTCTAGAAACTGGTCACGCTTAGTTAACTCAATAACTCTATAGATAGAAAATGCATACTTTCTGCTTCGATGAATTCACTAATCAAATGGCAAAAAGCAAAAACTCCACATTGCACTTGCAGCAACATATGGTGGTCGAGAGCAAGCTGAATTGCTCTCCGGAATTATTCAATTCATCAATACGAGGTTGCATTTGCCATAACGAGAACCATTATAGTCTGGAAAGTATTATGGAACTGAGAAGGGCTCCATAACCCTCTGCAAACCGGTAAGTCGATTGAGCAGACGTATCACATCCGCTTACTGAGATTAATCCAGAAGTAGAAGGAAATGAATACGAATGATTAAGAAGAAGGTATGGGCCGGTAACAGCGAATTGTTTTAGAAATTTCTTAGAAGCTATCTAGTCTGCCAGTGCCGCCATTTATTTTGATTGGTATCCTTTTAGGACTGCTTAGTGTGGGAATATATAAGTGAACCTCTGAAAAGGAAAGGCAGGTGTGAAATTGGCTGGTTGGAGTGGACAGGGGGCTGCTTCTGTACCGACACCATTCTTCAACATCTTCTGAATGAGAAGACAGGTGATGCCATGCTGCTTGACAATATAAGAAATAGGTTTCGAGCGCGGGAACCCTCACGTTGACTGTTTTGAACCTCTGCAGTGTCTCAACTAACACCCGTAGAACTCAGCTAGGACTGTATGACAGGGCCACCCTTTTTTGGATTGTTCGAACTCTCCAGCTCTCTTTCTTACGCAAAGCACTTTTTCCATGGATGTCGTTCTTCTACGATGTCTTTGCTTGTTTACCTTGCACCAACCAGTTCTGTTCTCGATGTGTGGCCGAACTGACAACAATTGCTATCTAAGGTAACAATCGGGACTCAATGTACTCGATCTCATTCGTGTCCTTGGAAAGCCCAACATCTGTGACTCAAACCGCTCTGTTGGCTGCACCGAGTTCCCGTGCTGAATTTTCTTGCTGACTGCAATCAAAGAAGCTCCATGTACCCTATTAGCAATCGTATCTGTTTAAACTTTCTAACTTTATTCTAACTTCCTAACTTTATTCTAGTCTTGAAAGTGCGAGAGTGGTGCAGTGGCAAGGGGTGCACTATCAAACCTCATGGTCCAAAGATCGTATTTCTATTTGATATTGCCCACACCAGCAGACCTCGGAGGAATGGAAAGCCAACAAAGGCCTTCCATTCCTCCGGAGTCCGCTGGTATCAGCCTTCTCTGGAAGTATAAAAATACTAAATTGTACATTGAATGCCCTATGCAAGCCTCTGTATAGGCCGCATACCCACACACAATACTCTGCGACCCCGGATGAAAGTCGAATGAAGGGCGCATTCCAAAAACAGGGGTCTAGTAACGACCAGAACTTATCCTTAGAACTGAGGACACTCACCCTCTTCTAATTCTGGCCGAAGTTTAGATCTCGAGAATCCATGGGTATACGTTGTCGGCCTCATATGCATTTACAAGGCTACTTCGATTCTGAAAGGAAGTCAACATAGGGCGCATCTCAAAACGGACCGAATCAGCTAACAAAATTTACCATCAATCCTCTATCCTGATCAAGTTTGTTTCTATCTATACATATTGACTTGTTTAACCAAATTTGTGCATTTATAGTTGTACAAAGGCAGAGGTGGTGTAGGGGCAAGTGGTGCACTATATCGCACGCACGGTCAGGGGTTCGAATCCCGGATCGATGCCCGCCTCGGACAACCAAGACTTCCATCCCTTCGGGGTCGGTGAATTGGAACCAGACTCGTCTGGGAGGATAAAAGCACTGACTTGTACATCGGCTGGCCATAGCAATTCATTGTATAGGCCACATACGCACTCATTAGGCCACTACGATTCTGAATGGAGTCGAGTGCGGGGGCGCATCCCTCAGACGGGATTGATTAACGCCAAAAACTTTATCCTTAATTCTTTTATAGTTGTACAAGAAAAATTGTTTGGCAACTGGCTTTACAGCAGGTGCAATAGGTTAGCACGGCGTCGTAGGCGCACAGGTGCAGGTTCGAGTTTTGCCCAGGGACTGCTCAAAAGCTTTTCTTCACTACAACCAATTTTACTATTCCCATTATTTTTTCGTGTTTTTGTAATAAGAAATTGTTTGTGTGCCATGGGTACGGCGAACACTGATTACGTCAAAAATAAACTATCGTCTATGTTTATGAAGCCGTACAGATGCGGAAATTTATGACTATCATTTTTCCGTGAGCGTAAGTCTATTCGGTATGGTTTCTAGTTCCCACAGAAATCTAGATTTTTTTTTCTTTTCCATAGGTTTCTATATCATGACAGACATGCCTCATGTTTGTAAGGTTCCTGGAACTCCATAGAAAATAAGAATTGATGTAGAAAAATCAAATTTTCCTCCTGAAGTTGTATTTCATAATAAAATCGTGTTACAGTAGTGCTGTCACTGTTTACGACAATCTAGTGTGTAATGTGGTTGGATTTCATATTTAGTCCATCAGCTGTACTACCTTTATAGGGGCATATCTTTATGAGCTATTTGTAAAACGAGAGATTGTAGGATGAAGTTTCTGAAGTTAATATTTCTGGTTGTTGGGATACGCCTTGCACTCGGTTTTCAGTCGCTATTGCAGCGTTTGAATGCGCATGTAATACCGACTTCCCATCCGAGGGATTCATAACGAGTTGAGGTGGTCAGTAAGACAAGCCAGTGCTTTTATTCCCCCAGACGTGTCCGATACCAGTTAGCCGACAATGGAAGGATGAAGTTTGTCAAGCCTGTACGATATCGGACCGGGATTTGATCCCTCAACCAAGCGTATAGGGAGGTGCTCCACCTGCTACTACACCAAATCTAGCCCATAAACTCTGGAGTTTTTGGCGTTAATCAATCCCGTCTGAGAGATGAGCCCCGCATTCGACTTCCATTCAGAATCGTAGTGGCGTAATGAGTAAGTATGTTGCCTATGCAATGACTTACGGGCCTATGTATAAGTCAGTGCTTCTATCCTCCCAGACGAGTCTGGTCCCGATCAACCAAGCTCGGACCCCTGCCGCTACACCACATCTGCCTTATAATCAGTGGTAATTGGTGGTATTGATAAAAACTAGCACGGGTGCTTATCGATAAAGCGAACATCTGGTATTATACCAATCACCCTCTTCACCCACCCCCCTCAACACTGATGCGCTTACATATAAGCATAAGTCAGTGGAAGCTATTGATTAAATCGTAATCGAGTATAACTGATACCATGATTTTTTGCATTCACATAATTCCGTACAAGAACTTTTCGTGATGTCTCACCCCTGCAATTACTTTTTGAAGCATATTTTGTTATCATTTCCAGGTACAAATGCTCCTAATAGTGTACGCTTTGGTAAGATTTTTTCATATCTGCCCAGTTACTTTTTGTTATTGCTTTATTCAAATTTATCCCATTGCTCGAAGTTTTTCAGTGTATTCTCCTCAAACTCAGCAACGAGTCCGATCCCATATCAGGTTAATTATTGATTTTTCATTTCAACAACTTTGAACGTTTCCCAATGAACTCCACGCGGCTGGGCCAGTAGCCATAGGAACGCTCCAGATGTTCGGGCTTAATTCCAAAGCAGTCGTAATGAGATAAGCATCTGGTCCTATCTACTCTTCATGTTGAGAACTGTAGCCGCCACCTTGCCCTGGAGAAACATTAAAAATGAAGCTCAATTTGAAGCAAACGGATCCATCTTGTCCCCACCATAACGGCTATTTCGGAGTATGCTAATTGGATCGCTATTCCAATTATTTTGGCAGTTACTCGAAAACCTTGCGATACTTGACAATCGAGCTTCCTCAATCCCAGTAGAACGTCTATCTATGACACTTCAGCCAAGATAGACGATTTTCTATCTTTCCTTGGCACGACTAAGTTAGGGGCGGGACTTGGGAGTGGAGGGCCTAGTTCTATTCGTATGACGAAGGCTTCCAAAGTCCGAAAGAGACTGAACCCGTACGTAAAAAGCCAGCAACACCGAAGACTACTGTTCTAAAGCTCTTATGATCGATTTGGATTGTCAATTTCTAGAAGATCGCCTTCGTGAAGTCAGCAACACCCGAAAAGTTACACCTACCTCCATAATATTATAGAATCTGTCCTATCGTGCTATCCTTACTCCGAACAATTCACTTGGGATGGGTTCAAACCCCCCTTCCACTTTGGTGAATATGTCGTATGCTTTTGATCGGTTCGCCGTTTTGTGTCAAGCTCTGAGATTTACCTCAAACACACTGCCTCCAACCGCTTGACAATATGGGAGTAAAAATTGGAAAAAGCGACCCAGATAAGGCGATCACCTTAAAGTACAGTACATTTTATATTCAGAAGTCTGTGAAGAAAATGAGCTGCTGACTGACTGCGGTGCACGATGTGAACCAACCTGCATAGAGCCGACTCCGGTATGCCCTTAAAATTCTTTCCTGTCACTCGGAAACAATGAAGATAGTGGAAAGTAGTAACGCGGCATTGGGAAAAAATACCCCAGATTGAATGGAAGTCGAAAAAAACGGCTCATTAGACTTCTGATTTTGTATATTAACTCACCCACACACGTCATTCTGGGGAACAAGTATATGTTTCGCTTCGCCCCGGCGGTCCTCAAGCTTTTGCTTTGTCAGTTTTTCTGCTGCCGGTATTATTAGTAGAGGTAGGATGTTGTCTTGTAGTAAGATGCCACAGAGGTAGAGAAGGTGGCAGAGTAGTCCAGTGAGATTTCCCCCTACTAGCACACAAGGGATCAGATACCGGATCTGCCTTGCTGGGGCTGACCAAATGTCTCATACCTCCAGGATTTTACGACTGATATCAGGGTCAGCTTGAAGAGTTATAGTCGTCCCTTCTACATCGGCCAGTTTCAGGCATTAGGATTCAGAATGGAAATAGAGTGGAATGGAGTGGGTGGCTCTATGTCAAAATTGGCTTGATCAATTCTGAGAACTCATTTTCTATTCTTTCCTGCGTTGGAAAAGATGAGTACCAATCTTCCAGGATTGCGAAGGCGATTGCATCGCAAATGTGTGTCGTTGTAAGCAAGGATTCATACGTCGTGAACTTGGAGGATCATGTATCGAGGAATCGTCATGTCCTCCTGGTCGAAGTACCATTTATCATTTTCACCTTCATTTGATTGTCTTACTCGATCCATTTTAGAACCGGTTCCGCCGTCATGCCATGGAGTCTCTTGCCATGAAGGAGCTCACTGTGAAGTGGTCGATGTACCGTGCACGAATGGTACCTGTCCTCAAGAAGCCATTTGTATAGACGACCAAAATGATTCTCAACTTTTTTAGCCGTCCCAATGATGTACAAGTAAATAATTACTTTTCGAGTTCGCTAAACATTGTTGCTGAATGCCAAGCCAAAATTCTCCCAAGATTTTTCATGGGATGCTGAAGAGCTCGTATTCTGATGTAAGGAGAATACAGGGTGGGCCAAAATTATGATTACACAGAAATCACATCGCAGAAAACGAATAGAAAGCCAATAGAGCAAACCAATTTCATTAAAAGTCTAAAGTGAATCTCTTTTCGTCGGTGCACAGGATTTCCGTAGGACAATTTTTTCGGATGCGACAGGCAGCTTTTGTTAGCCAACTTTTCTCTTCTCTTTAACCTGCTCTCTGGAGAAATCACTTTCTGATCGTATAAGGGTCTCGTTGTGCAGGTGATGCTTCACGATTTCGCGCAGAAAATTTCGTGACATATCCATTCATTTAGCCTTTTT